GCTAAGGTCCTCGCCTTGAACGTGCCGGGATCCCATATGGGCACCGGTTCTGGTCCCGGCAGCTCCACTTCCCATCCAGCTCCCTGCTTGTGACCTGGGAAGGCAGTCGAGGATGGCCCAAAGCCTTGGGACCCTGCACCTGTGTGGGAGACCTGGAGGAGGTTCCTGGTTCCCGGCTTCGGATCGGCACACATCGACCGTTTTGGTCACTTAGAGAGTGGATCATCGGACAGAGGATCTTCCTCTCTGTGTCTCCTCCTCTCTCTATATCTGACTTTGTAATAAAAATAAATAAATCTTTAAAAAGTTATGTAATGGTTAAAGGCACACACTTTGAAGTCAGAAAGTCATGGGTTCAAGCAGACGCCACCTGAGACTTGAGTTTCCCAAACTCCACACCATCGCTGGACTCATAGCACCTGCTTCAAGGGATGGTTATGAGCATTAAGTTAGATAGTATATGCAAAGGGCAGCAGGGCCTCAATACACAGTATCTCCTGTTTTTCTTAGTAATTTAAAAATGTACGGCAAACTTATGAGTGAAGGAGCACAAACTTTCTTCTTGTTTCACACTAGGTTTCTTGAGGCTCAGCCCCTAAATCTCTTATCAGCTTCAGCACTGATTATTCAATCTCTCACATTTTATTCTCCAATGACAAACATTAAAATACTTTTTAAGCCACTTCCTGCCCCCCCGCATAGGTCTTGTCTTCATCCTCAACCCTCTGTCCACCAGTTTGCTATAAAAGGTCTTACACTTAATGATGGTTTGACTTATGATTTTTTTAGGTTTATGATGTTGCAAAGATGATATGCGCTCAATAGAAACCGTATTTTATATTATAATATTTCCCAGACTGATGATATGCAATAGGAAACTATTGAGTTGCACTCAGTACTCATCAGAATAAACAAATGACACTCTACAGCATGTTGTGTTGTTAAATCTGGTGGGTAGGCAGGGGAGGTACAGTAAAAGCATTTTTGACAACAATGTTTTCAGTTTACAGTAGGTCTGTTGGAACGTAACCCCATTGTAAAGCAAGAAACAGCTGTAGATTGCCCTTCCAACTTTCAAAGCTAACCTCTCCTCCACACTCTCAAGGCACCTGCCACCTCCAGCACACACATCCACACACTCTCCAGGCTTCTAGCATCGCTTTACACTTGTATTATTTTGTCTGTCTATACCTCTGTCTTTATGACTAGTACACGAGTCTTGGAGGAACTGAACTATGTCTTATTTACTGCTAAATGCCCTCAAACATCTTACTCGGCAGAGTAACTGCTTGGATGACTATTCTGAGAAGCTGTCTTTCCTACTCCTTTTTATGCTCCACCCAGAAAGCTACCAGCTGTGTCTTGGAAGGAAGTCTGTTCTGCTCTTTGAGTGAGTGAGTGTGTAAAATAGTTAGCTAGTGCTAACAGTGCCTGCATCCAACACAGCATGTATCAGCAAAGCAAAGTTTCACAATGGGAAGAAACCAAGGTGAGGCGGCCTTGTGCAGTCAGACTTCCATTGTGGAGGCATGCAATATATCGACACGAGCTGGACATGTATGTAAATATGCAGCAGCTCTCTGAAATATCTAAATTTTTCTATACTTTAGTTATATTTGCTCTTGATTAACCTAGATATAGCATGCAAAGCTGCATTGAATTATTAACAATGCTACTTGAGAGCAAGAACTACCACAAGGGAAATGTCAAGGGGACAAAATCTCAAGTTTAATACTGCCAAATGCCAAGAAGGAAATGCTTCCAGCAGGGCCTCATCCCAAGGTTATGCACAAAGATAAGAGGACTCAGGCAAATTTAGAAGCAAAAGTGTCAACGGTTCTCAGAAGCACAACTTACAGAAACATTTGTGGATCAAATATCTTTTTATAAGGTTTAACAAAAATAATTACAAATAAGAAAATTCATAAATGCTGTGCATAGGAAGCAAATTTAGGAGGCTATAAGTCTATACAACACAGATGAAATTTACTACTCTGCTACCTTCTCTGGCTTTTACTAAAGAACATTTTTTAAAAATAGACAATCAAGCAGAAAAAGAGAGAGAGAGAACAATCAACATATTCAAGGGATTGGCTTTGAAAGAGTAAATAATGATTCTATGAGTCTGTAACTCCGGGACCATACCACTCTTCTGGTCTTATCAGTGACCTCCCTTCTGCACACCAATACCTCTTTCATCTCTGACCTTGGGGTGCTTTCAGGAGCCAAGGATACAGCCTTTAAAAAAAAAAAGAAAAGAAAAGAAAAGAAGGATTCTGTGGTGGGAGGGGAAATGTGGAGGGAGGCAGGAAGGGGGAGGGGAAGGAAGGAATTGTTATATCTACAAAACTGTATCATGGACAGTAATAATAATTTTTTTTAAGTTCTGAAAGCTATAGAAAACACTGTCCTCCCCATTTCCCCCTAGTTGTGGAGTTCTATGTAAGACCCACAGGACGTTGGGAACAGAAGTTAATTATCTGCCCTTTGTTTTTGATTGTTTGTGGCCCCTGGGGGAAATCAGAAATACAGCAGCGTCATGTCACTAGAAATCGGCCCGGTCTTTACCCTGACTGTTTCAGGCCCTGTTTCTAACTGGGGAGACTTAAATCGAGCTCCTACGCGGGTGCGGGGTCCCAAGGCTTTGGGCCGTCTTCGACAGCTTTCCCAGGTCACAGACAGGGAGCTGGATGGGAAGTAGGTCGGCCGGGATTAGAACCGGCGACCATATGGGATCCTGGCGCGTTCAAGGAGACGACTTCAACAGCTGCGTTATCATGCCGGGCCCTTGGGGATTCTTAAATAAGAGCTTCCCGTGGGCTCTCAAAATCAGCGCCCGGGAGATTCCGCCAGGAGGCACTTGTTGCTTCTCCCAAGGAGCTGGCCCCCGAAGCACCGACAGAGACCGTGGGACCTCTCGGGCACAAGGTGGCAGTATGCACTGCTTTATTTCAAAAGTCATGGGCTTGTGAATGAAGCAAGTTGAAGGGGGTGGAGAACACTGAGTGGAATTGAAATCTATTTGAGTTTGATATAAAAACTGAAAAAATTGAATGCTTTTTGTTTATCTCAGAAGTAATTAGTGAACTCTACCCAATGAAAGTATTTCAAGTTTCCAAATAATGAAACACCTTTAAAGCTTCCTACTGGCCCACCTAGCACATCCCTACATCCTCCAAAGCTGGGGTATGACCCAGGGCACCAGAGCGCCTTGCTGTCTGCCCTCTTACTGCGCCTTTCAGTTGTCGAACAGCCACTTCTCACCCAGACAGCCCCTAAGGCAGAAGCTTTGAGAGGTGCCTTACTCCTTTTCTCAATCCTTCAGGTTTATTAACATCTATTTCCATATCTTATCAAAAGGGTAACAACAAGGGAAGATCCCTCAGACGCCAGGTGAGATTCAGAAAAAAAGCGTAAGGGGGGGGGGGGACGGGGATAGGGGAGGAAGAACAAATTAGGGAAGAGAGGAAGGTGAGTGAGGTGAGAAGCTGGCAGGAAGTGTCGGACAGAGGGCTGTCGGGAAAATGAAATGAAGGAAAATGAAGGTGGAAGAAAAAACTAAGAGAAGGGGAAAAAAGGAAGGGGCAGAGAGGAAGACTGAGGAACTAGAAAAGGGGAGAATTTTAAAAAATTACTAGAGAAAGGGAAAAGAGAGGAAATGGGGGCGGTGTTGTGGGTCTAGGAAGTCGGTAAGGGGGCTGTGGGGGGGGGGGGAGATGGAAAGATTTTAAGATGATTGAACCAAGTGAAAAGAGAAGGCGGGGGAGATCTACACGAAGCCTGTGGAGAAGCCGGCGTTGCAGGAAGCCGGGATGAGGTTCCAGCAAGATGCGACAGGGCAAAAGGGGGAGAAAAGATTGGGGTGCAAAGACAGTGAGTGACGATAGGTGGGTTGGGTGTGTGTGTGTGTCTGTGTGTGTGTGTCTGTGTGTAAGAACTGAGAGTTTGTGTGCGCTTCTGTAAGTTTTCCTTAAGGCGTTTAGTAGGTTCTCGAGACCTGCAGCTACCGTCCGGTGACGGCCAGGGGACGCCACAGCTTTCCGGGAGACCCCTCCCCCTCCAAACAAACAAATAAACAAACAAGCAAAAACGCCCAGGGCCTCTTGGAGGGTGGCAGTTTGGGGGGGCGCCGTCTGTGGTAGGACTAAAGATACATTTTTTCCCCTCTCCCGGAACTCAGTCCCCCCCTCCCCCCCAAGAGGCCAGGAGACCCTGGCGTTCCGACTGTCGAGGGGCGGGGGTTGGGGGCAGAGAGACGGCTACAGAGGCGTTGGCGTTGACCAAGGCTGAGAGGGCGGGAAGGGGGGGAGCGAGGCGAGAGCGCTTCTTAGGAGCTGAGGCTCCGGGCACGCCGGCGAGGGTGCGTGCGAGGGTGCCAACCGCCGCGTGGGTGCGAGGATGCGGGCGGGGCGCGGCGAGACCGGGGGCTGGCTGGAGCTCCGGGCCCTCCGGGCAAGAGGCCGCTGGGTGGCTGGGGCCGGGGCGCCCTCCCTGGCCCCTCTAAGGTGATTTACATGCTGTCACAGCCTGGTGCGTGCTGCTAGCTCGCTCGCTCAGGGCTCCAGTCACCGAGCAGCCGGAGCAGCTGGCACAGCCTCAGGGAGCAGGAGAGCCCGAGAACCCGAGAGCAGAGGAGGGAGGAGGCAGCGCAGGAGGGAGGGAGCGAGGGCGCGCCCCGGTTCTCCCTCTGCCCTGCTGCCCGCCCTTCCTGCCGCCACAGGTCCGCCCCGAGCCTCTGATCGTACTTAGGAAACTTGGGACAGCGCAGGGGCCGCGTGTGGCACCGCAGGGGGGAGCGGGGGGCGGCCCCGGCCTCGTGAGAAGGGGGAGGAGGTGGTGGAGGAGGAGGAAGAGGAGGAAGTGAGCCCGAAGGATCCGCTCTGAGCTGTTTGTCCAGCTGTTTCTATTCGCACCCCGAGCAGAAGCACAAGAAGGGGGCCCGAGCCGAGGGGTGGCCGGCTTGAGGCGCTAATTTCCAACTCTTCTCCTCCTCACAGCTGGTCTTTTCCAGGCACCCTGGAGTCCCGTCAGGCCAGTAAGGCGGGCACGCACCTGCCAGCCGCCGCTGAGGGCCCAGGGCAAGCGACCCCGGAGCCTGGGAAGATGGCTCAGACCAAGAGCGACTGCCGCTCACCTGTCGGCCTCGACTGCTGCAACTGCTGCCTAGACCTGGCCCACCGCAGCGAGGAGAATAACAATCCCGGCAGCCCCACCGTGAGCAACTTTCGGCAGCTGCAGGAGAAGCTGGTCTTCGAGAATCTCAACGCCGACAAGCTCAACAACATAATGCGGCAGGATTCGCTGGAGCCCGTGCTGCGGGACCCCTGCTACCTGCTCAATGAGGGCATCTGCAACCGCAACATCGACCAGACCATGCTGTCTATCCTGCTCTTCTTCCACAGGTGGGTGCCAGGGCAAAGCGGAGCGCGGGGAGCGGGGGAGGACGCGTCCTGGCCGACCACAACCTCTGCTGGACCCTCATCTCCAATCGAAGGGGCAGCCAGGAAGTTCCAGAGAGGCAACAGGGAAGGGGGAGGTCAGGTTCACGGGCTCCCTAGCACTGACTGTGGACCAGGCGCTAGCTACCCAGAGGACTGTGTTGCCCTGCGCGCCTGGCGCGAGTGAAGGGAGGGCCGGCAGGTGCAAGGCTATTTTGAAGGGTGTCTGATGAGACACTGGGTGAGAGACACTTGGGGCTCAGAAGGTGAGCAGATCCCAGAAAGCTTGGAGATTTGCCCCTCTTCCAATACATAACATTGGCACAGCCCATTTGGGGCTACAGCGGTGGGATTCTGGAGGGGGCAAGGGAGACCGGAGTTCACCCTTCTCAAAAACCCTTGTCTGAACGTGCAAACTGGGAATGAAACTGCAAGGCTTTTAAATTACAGAGTGGCCCTGGCTTCCATGAAGGCAAGGAAATGTCAGGACAAATTAAGCTGCTGCTGGTGTAGGGAGCAGGGGAGGGGGAAGAGAGGAATAAGAGAAATCAGATAGTTTTTGGAAGACTCTGGATTGGGGGACCCCACCTTCTCCATGGATTAGATTCAAATGTAGGCTAAAAGCAACTCCAGAGAGCATCCCAGGACATCTGTTTGAGTACCCCGATTATTGTATGTGGTGGGAGGGAGGCTAAACCCACGTTGGCGGGGACTTGCATGAAGGGCTGACTTTGTAGAAATTCTGCTGGGGAGACAGGGCAGGGGGTGGGGAGGAAAGAAACACACAAGGGGAAGATGCAGGTGGTTGCAGTCCTGCAGTCAGCTTGCTCTGGTGACAAGCACTTAGCAACAGAAGCACTTTAGAGACAGGAGAAGCAACTTCAGGAAACCTAGATGTGGGTCTCGTATTAGCGCCACTGAGACAGGGCACCAGATTGTGTGTGTGTGTGTGTGTGTGTACGTGTACAGGGGGGTGGATATTTAATTCTTGCTCAATGACACAGGTTATGTAAGAGAAAGACATCCCCACTGTGAAAGACCTGGCTAGTTGTAGCTCAAGGTAAGGTTCTACCTTTCTGTATGATTCTGAGCAAGTTTCCTTCTAGCCCTGACATTCCGGAGGTCCTGGGCGGATGCTGTGTCCAAAGTTATAAGAAAATTCTGAGCGCTCACGAATTGGGCATTTTTAAGTGATTTGAGAAAGGCAGGAGCTCCCCTCACTTAATTCTAAGACCAGGTTTACCTCCCTTGTCCCAAAGCTAAACCCACCGTCGCCTTCCCCTTACTCCAGCTCCAGCGGTTCTGGCAAAAGTCCACAAGGCTGCCAACTTTGTTAGTGCCATTTCAGCAAGTCATATTTCTCAGACGTTTCTGACACCTACTAAAACCCTTTCCCATCTATTATTTCACTTTAGGCATCAAATTATCTTATCTAAAATAAGCTAGGCCATGGATGGAACAGGTTTTGAGGGAATCTTCATTTCTAGGAGGGTATTCAGTCCTCAGAAGCTCAAACCCTGCGGAGTCAAATCCCTAACGCGTTCCTAATGATCAGCTGGGCTCTGCTGGAGAGTGGGGGCAGGGGCGCCAGGGAAACATGGAGGGAGAGCCTGTCGGATTTTTCCTTCCCTTAACTGGGAAAGACGCTGCTCCTCGTGGGCTATAGGGAAAAGTGTGAGAGGGAGTATATTCTTTGGTTCTTGGCCAAGGAGGGTCGCACCTGCATGAGTGAGTCAGTGAGGTTAAGGCTGAGAGCCTAAGATAACACTCCCTACACACCCTCGCCTCAGCGTGCTAGTAGTTTGGCTTTCTGGAATAGAAGAGACCTCTTTTGTCACCTGCTGCACTGACAATCAGCTTAAGGATGCTGGGTCCTCCACAAAGCCAGGAAATGCTACAGGGCTGTTGGGAGCGGCACGTTGAAGGCACGTGAGTCCCCCTGACTCCTGGGATCAGTTAACTCAGTGTCCCATAGCGCTGAGGAGCAATCCAGCCAGTTGTCAGGCTTTGTGGAGCTGGAGAGCAACAGGTTCCTGTACGTAGTGTAGTGTCGGCGGGACAAAACATTCTCATTGATGTGACAACTGTGATCTTGGAGATCGGAGAGTCGCAACATGCTTTATTTTTCCCAAGAAGCAATCTAGGAGAGCATTGTTGCTGGTGATGGGGTCCTACCAGTGCCTAGGCAGGATAGCTTTCTCCTAAGTGGACTTTTTTTTTCTTATTTTACAAATTCCTTCAGTTTCTAGCTTCATACTGCAGCCATTGTTTTAACTCCTCTTCTATTTAATTATTTGACATTCCAGGCCCCCTGTCTGGGTGTGCTTTTTTTTTTTTTTCCTTTGTCTGCTTTCAAGGCTAACCCTCCTCCTCTACCCTACATCCCACCCCGCCACACACCCCACACCCCTCCTGCAGACCAGCCCCCCTGCTGCAGAGACTGGAGAAGAAAGACAGGTCACATGCTTGATTTATATCTGGCTTGTCTGCTTTGACCTGTCCCCTGCCGTCCCACTTAATGCTCTTGTTTTCCCTGGGATACAAGATTGTAAGCAATTTGAGGGTAGGGTTGTGTTTTATTTGCTTGGTTTTCCCTCAGCATCTACATACACAGTCAATATTGATTTAGTAAAGATTGTTTTGGTCGGATGATTACCTAATTGTTGGTGTGGACCCATTTAAGATTTAAAACTTCAGGTTTTTTTTTTTTCAGTCAAATCTTTTTAAGGTTTAAATGTGGAGTACTTTGTTCTGTTTTAACTACACGCAGTAACTCTAATAGTCTGGTGAAGTCCTGACGGACAATGCTGTGCAAACACTAACAAATCAGTAGCAATGGGTATGTAGCTTATTGGTACGTAAATGGTGCTTCTGAACTACTGGAAAAAAAAGAGATGGATGTTGTTTTTTAGATTTTTAAATTTTTATCTAAAAAGCAGAGTCGTAGCTCCGCGGTGGAACAGAGAGAAAGGAATTGTATCTTCAATCTGCTGATTCACTCCCCAAATGACCACAATGACTGGAGCTGAACCAATCCAAAGCCAGGAGCCAGGAGCTTCTCCTGTGTCTCCCACACTGATGTTCAGGCCCAAGGACCTGAACCAACCTCTGCTGTTTCCCCAGGCGACCAAAAGCAGGGAGCTGGATTAAAAGTGGAGCTACTGGGACTCAAACCAGTGCCCACATGGGATGAAAGCACCGCAGGTAGAAACGTAGTCCATTACGCCTCAGCATTTACTCCAGGAAGAGATTTTTGTTTGTTTTTCTTTTTTTTTTTTTTAGACCAATTTTACTTGAAGTCAAGATGTATGGAGAGAGAGGGACCCATCTTCCATCTGCTGATTCTCTCCCATAATGGCTAAAAAGGCCAGAGCTGGGTCAGTCTGAAGCCAGGAGCCAGGAACTTCTGCTGGGTTTTCCACGAGGGTGCAGGGGCCCAAGGCTTTCGGCCATCAGCAGGGTGCTAGTTGAGAAATGAAGTAGCTGCAAGTAGAATCAGTGTCCATAGGCGACTAGCACTGGTGCTGCAGGTGGATTAACTTGCTATGCCACTGTGCCGGGCCCCCAAGAGATGTGTTTTACACACCATTCCTTTGATCTTTTGTTACGTAAGTAATAACCATAAAGGGTTAATAGCTAAAGTTTATTGCACATTTCCAATGAGTACTAAACATATCTCCACCATTTCATTTAATATTTATGCCAATCTGATTAAACGGGTGTTCTCATCACATATTTTGATTTTGTAAATATAGAAGGAAAATGAAAGTTTAAAAAATTAAATAACTTGCCCATTGCCTAACAATGAAAAGTTGAGCCAGGAGTTGTGGAAAGCCGAGATCTGCTGGAGTGTATGAATCGTCTATGAAGAATTATAAAAAAACCAACAAACGCTAAAGAAACTGTTACACCAGTTTCTAACAATTTCTAAATAATTATCTGTGAATCTTTCAAGATGGTCACCATGTCGTTATTAAGGATAGGGACCAACCACCCTGGTCCTGGGACATAGGACTTTAGGTACTTAAAATGCATCAGGCCAGGACAAACTAGGGTGGTTCTTCACCCTGCTATTAGGGCATCCTACCTTGCATTTGAGTATGCTTTCAGTAAGAGAAAACTTAGGAGGGCAATAGAATGTGCCAGACAGCTGAAAATTCTTCTTCTTCTTCTTCTTTTAATTTATCTGTTTTGAATGGGAGAGAAAGAAAGAGAAAAAGAAAGAGAGAGAGAGAGAGAACATTTCTGTCTGAAGCTTCACTCCCCAAATGGCTTTAGTGACCAGGGTGGGTTCACACAAATACAGGGAACCTGGAACTCCGAGTCTCCCAAGTGGCTGACAGGGTCCTAAATATTTGGCCATCTTCCACGGCTTTCCCAGGCTGAAGTTTCTGATTTAAAAGTAGCTACCAGGGTACCTCAGATATTTTGTGCGAAATGTAATTTTAAAATATGCCTATTTTTATTTTTAAAAAATGAGCCAGTGTTGCTGCTGCCTGTGACAACAGCATCCTGTGTGAGCACTGGATTGAGTCTGTTTTGGATCCAGCTTCCTGCTAATGTTCCTAGGAGAACAGCAGAAGATGACCTAAGTGCTTGAGCCCTTCCCACCAATATAGAAGACCACAATGGATTTCTGGGCTTCTGGCTTCAGCCTGTCCAGCCTCGCCATTTTGGCCATTTGGTGAAACAAAACAAAACAGTTGATGGATGATATCTCTTCTCTCTCTGTGTTCTTTCTAAAACTCTGCCTTTCAGATATTTTTAAAGATTCTTTGATTTTATTTGAAACACAAAGTTACAGAGACTGAGAGATATATTTTTTAAAATATTTATTTTTATTTTTATTGAAAAGTCAGATATAGAGAGAGGAGGAGAGACAGAGAGGAAGATCTTCCATCCGATGATTCACTCCCCAAGTGACCGCAATGGCTGGTGCTGCGCTGATCTGAAGTCTGGAACCA